AATATATAATATAATATTATATATATATATATTATCCCATATGTACATATATTATCACCGTATTTCTCCCATGGATTTTCCCTCCGTATCACCCAGGTCACCACGCAGATCTGACTGCATGGCTGTAGAACATACCCTGGCGACCAGGCCTGAGACGCGCTGAGATCACTATATTGGGATATCTTTTTTTCATGTGATGCTAATGAGATATCATGCGGCTTTAATGTGATATAACATATATAATTTGTAAAAAAAAAAACGTGGTTAATATGTGATATAACTAACACTAACATATATATATATAATTCAAGTAAAAAAAAAAACGTGGTTGATTAAAAACACAAAAAGTTGGTTCAATCGGTGTTCAACACTAAATAGTAATGATATGTAATAATGATAATTCATCTCTTTGGGTGAGCCAATCCACTGAAAATGCGCATCCCAACAGGCTTGAATACATCCCGAAAATCGATTGGGGTGACGAAAATTCAATGGGGAATATGGATAATAGATGGGAATGGTTTAATGGGTTTACAATACTTTATATCAGGTTACACTACCGTACCAATGTTTTAATGGCACCAATCACGACTCTTGTTCCTTAAACCCAATTCTTGGGTACGAATCTGCTCTTCTTTCCATATCTTTGGTGCCTAGATCCAACTTCCAATGAATCAATCGCCATCAATGGCCAATCTCAAACAAGTTCAACTTCAACTCCCCTTTCTTGATGGTCAAACCCAATTTTTGATGCTTAATGAAATCCCCCAGACCTTGGTTAATTACCAGATCCCAGCTGAACCAACAAATTGCTAAACTCTTAGCTCCTTAGCTCCCTCCCAACCGGAGAGGATGCGATTTTGTTCAGGTGCCCCGTTAGTTTTCCAGTGGCAAAACCAGTCAACGCCCCGAAAAAACAAAAGGAACCCCTCGCGGTTGAGATAATTGTCCGATCAAAATTAAGATATTGAAATGGGATATTCCCAATCTTGAGACAACCTGATTTTGCAGCTATCTTCATGTCAAACACATACCGAATACACCTGCAACCCTCCAAAACCCTGGAGTTATTTGCAATATCCAGCTGGCAGGTTACAGGTTGCTGCAAAGAATCATGTGAACTCGAAATTATCATGTTGTTAAGGTCATTTGAATGGTTTATATAATGGAAAATTTACAGGAAATGGTGGTTTACTGTAGATTTTCCCTTTAATCAATCCACTGATGAGGTCATTTATAATTGAGTTTGCATCAGATTGCATCAAATTTCCCAAACATTGCAGGTGGAGAAAAATACATGTCTTCCTGAGTCCGTCCCTCGTAGTATGATGCCGCGAAGCGCTGAATGAAGATCTTGCTCCGAAACACAGTACAAAGTCTGTTTGTAGTTGTTGATAGAGGGATTGAAATTGTGTGCTTTGCATTTCGCGATGTGCACATCGGAAAATAGGATGCTCAAAAATCTCAGTTCAGAAAATCTCAGAAAAATCGCGGTTCAGAAAATCTCAGTTCGGAAAATACCCGTTAAAAATAACTATTTGTGAGATCCCCCATTGGACAAAGTCAGCATCTCCCCGTTGATTCCCGCTCCGGACCATCTCCAGAGGAACCACTCTTCATAGCTCTGCGCCTCAAAAACCACACTGCGCGCACAGCGCATCCCAAAAAAACATCTTCCAAATGGTTGGATCTTAATGAGGGTCCATGATTTTCGCCATCTTCAAAATCCTTGTCAATCATCAATGATTTTCAAAACCTCACTTTCCAAAAAGGCTTCACAAATTTAATTAGATCCAGTAACTCACTACCGAAACTATAAAAATCAACCCAAGAATCCCAAGATTTTTATAGAACTATAAACTATAGAACTATAAAAATAATTATAATCCCAACTATACTATCAACTATATAATCGGTAATTTTACGAAACTATAAACTATAGAACTCATCAACCCACCAATCCCATCCCAACACATCCTGCAATCGCATCACATCGCCCAGGAAGCCGCGGAGTTGTCCACTGGTGACGCTGCGCAAACTCACGCGCTGCGACTGCACCTGCAACGAAAACAACCACGGGAGATGGTGATGGTTGAAGCAAAAAAAGATGGGTTTGACCATGGAAAATGGTGATCAATGCTGGTTCAACTATTAAAAATGAAAACTTCAGAAATAAAAACCACAGGTGGTCACGGGGTACATCACCGTGATGGCACTTTTGACAACGGATTAAACGTGCCATGGTCAATACGTGTTTTCTTGTTTTCTTGTAAAATGATGATTATAAAAGTGGTATATAAAACCCGTTTGATTGATGACAATCCCCCAGTGGGAAATTTGCCCATGTTTTGACCATAGCATATATACTAAACTTGGCAGAAACAGAAACACCCCAAAATTGCTTAGTTCTGGTTGGCCTGATGGGGCCCCAACTGTCTAGCTGGGGGAATTGGACAATTATATTCGTTTATATTCGTGCCATTTGTAGAAGATTTCTTGTTGGAAATTATATGTGTTCCCTTGTGAGGCAAGATACCCGAGGATAACTGATCATTTCTGATAACGATTTTAGCGCCAACCAACATGTGTAAAAACAATTACCATCCATTAGACAAAGCTTGATATTTTGCAAAACCCACCATACATTTAGATCATCCGCGTTCATCAAACTCTGCTGTTTGATAGTTCAATCATGACTTGGGCTGCTTTTTTGCACCCATGCTTTATTCTTAAATCCCTTAAAAGCCGATGTTTTGCGGTTTTATACGATATATGGCAGTGTGTCAAAACCAATAGTACCCCTGTAATTCACATCAAAATAGCTGGGATTTATGGATGTTCATCCCCCTAAAAATGGTATTAATAGCAATAGGTATTGATCCATACCCATATATATATATATATGTACCTACGGTGTGTGTGTGTGTGTGTTTGTTCTTCATATTTTCATGGCAATAAATTGAGGGTAAATCATCACCATGGCTCCCCCACCTCTTCTTCGCTGCATTTGGTACTTGGAGCGGCCTGTGCTCCGACAACACAGGGCCGCCAAAAGCTGGTTTCATCGTGGTAGCTATCTTGTAGATTTATAATAATACCACCAAGATAGTTATCAAGATAGTTATTGTTATAATTCAGTTTCCCAACCAACTGATAGTAATCAAGGTAACGGAATTTTGCTTTTCTAACTATCATTTGGTTGGGAAACTCTCTCTGTGTAGCTCTGAACTCCCCATTTTGTCTAGGGAATATGGATACCCATTGCTCCTTAGCTCCCTCCTAGCCTTTGGATAGCTAGGCTTAAGACTAAGTTTTCTGTTTATTTATTGTCGGTTGGGATTCGGTACTTGGACTTGCATCCCAGTTAGTAAATAGCTAATTTTCGTCACATGTAAAGCTTGTCGGCAATTTGCGGTGTCGAAAGTTGCCTATGGTTGGATTGCCCGTGCGCCTCCTTTGACCTTGTGCACCCATTTGTGGAGTCAAGTGCATGTTGGCAGTCGTCGGCTTCGGCTTGCTTCTGTTTGGCTTAGGGCTGCTTTGTTCGGTGGTGGCATGCATTTGGATATCCTCTTCGCTACCCAGTTGGTTGGCATTCTTGCGCGCTTGCGTCGGCACCGGACTTTGACTTGGTGCACTCGTGGCGGTTCGCCGGCGTGTGCTTTGAATGCTTGGCTCCGTTCTCGTGGTTGGTCGTTTGATGCTGAGTGGAAATGGCCTCATGCTGATACCGGTCACACGTTGAACTTGAATGATGATGGTCATCATGGTGAAGATGGTTATTGGCAGCACATGGTTCGTGACGCTTGGCGTGCTTGGTGCTTGCGCCGTCACATGTCGTCTTCTCGTCGTGATTCTGCGTTGGATTGTTTCCATGCCGGTTACTTCAAGAGAATCGATTGGGCTGCGACCCGTGCTTGGGCTGCTTCGTGCGCGGAAGCTCGTTCTGTTTGTGTTGGTGCGCTTTTCTCCCCTGCTGTCCGTGGTGGCCGCGGGCCCGGTGAGTTGACGACTTCCTGCATCTGGAATGGTTGCGGTGAGCTTGGCACGTTTGAGCATATTTGCTGATGTTGTCCTTATCGGCCTCCCGATTTGGACATTCCTCCGAAACCTAACGAGGGCCTCTCTTCTCGTTATGGCTGGGTCATCACCAATCAGAGAGCTGACATCGTTGCTGTTCAAGACTGGCTTGTTTATGTGCAGCGCTTGTTGTGGGAACTTGCTCATCCTTCTGCTTGATGGCGCGGCTTGTTGTTTGGCTTGTTGCTTTGTCCTTCTGGCATTTCGGCGGCCATTGGTCTTCATTTGCTCACTTCACTCGTTACCTGGGGTGCGATGGTTTCATTCGTGCCTTTGGTGGCTCGGCTGCCTGGAGCGTGGTTTCGTCCGGGCTGGCTCCGGGTGGTGGTTGGTTCCGTTTGTTTTTCCCCCTTCTTGGTTTGGGGTGGTTGTGGTTTCCGCGGCTCCTCCTGGGCTGCGGCCTCCTTGCTGCGGTCTGCTGCGGGGGCAGTTTTCTGCTCCCCAGCGCTCATGCGCTGTCTACTTGGGGGCAGTTCATGGATAAAGTGATGATGATTTCGTCACATGTAAGCATGCCGAGTGGCGTCCTCCTCGTGGAGCATGCGGACCCCGGCAGGGGAGCGAACGGCCTGGAGGGAGTTAAAGGAAACACTAGGGGGTACCCCGAAGTTTTCTTTAGATTTTGGTCTGGTGTTTACCGGAGTTACCTGGGTGTCAAGTGGGCGAATCTCCCTTGGAAGTGTCGCATTCACTTTTGGACACGTTCATGCCAAAGACCTTTGGCTTGCCGAAAAGTTGCTAGAAGAAGATACAGACAGGCACGTAGGCGGCGCTTTTCCTGCCGCTTGACTTGCCGTCCTTTATTTCTTTTGGGTTGGCTCCATTGTGTCAAACTTTGCTATTCCTTGGTTTGTATTGTTTGGAACAAGTTTTGCCGGATTTTTGACAGAGATCCCCAACCCTGCCGTGGGCTCAACACCATGCTCCGCGGCGGTGCTGCTGGAGGAAGCTCTGCCACGAAACGTAAGCGCAATGAGAAAGCAATACAGAATGATGCTCTGACTCGGTTGTGTAACTTGCTTGAGGGTTTTGTTGGCACGTCGCCCCAGAAAAACCTTCAGAAAAAGAAAAAGAAGAAGAAAAAGTCGGCCATACCCAATTCGTCTGCTGAAGAGGGACCAAAATTGGTTGACCAGTTGAATAAGGTTGTTGAGGGGATCCGGAAAGACCCGGCTTCCTTGGTTCCGAAGTTGGAAGCTTTCTTGAAGATTGCCAAAGCATCGGACCTTGGTCGCCAGGCGAACGGTTCTGGAACTTCTGCAAGGCAGGACAGTTGGGCGGATGTCGTCAAACAAAATACGGCTTCTGCTAAAGTCGCTCCTGTGAAACGTGGGTCTCAACCCATTACTCTGGCTCGCCATTGTTGGCCTCTTGGTGAAGTCCGTGATTATGGGGAAATTTTGAAAAAACTTGAAGCTGGTGAGAAGCTGGTTGGTTCTGTCGCTTTGGTGCCGTCACTTGAGAAAGCGTTGGAACTTAGGCAGCTTGCTCAAGGACACAAACTCGAGTCGATTAAGTTTGCTTGTGTGGTGGCTGCTGCTGATGTGACCGCTTTGCCTGATGGCGTTTCCTGTGTCACTTTGCCGGTTAGTACCACGCTTGCTGCTGGAATCTCCTCTACGAAGTTTGTGAAAATGGCATGCGTTCTGTTGGGAAGTGAGTCTCCTGTGCTTCCTGTCAGTTTGGTCAAGAAGGTGCAAAATGCTCCAGTTGCTAAAGATTTGGCCACTGTGAGATTCTTTGTTCCTCGTAAATTCGTTAGTCGCGAGCAATGGGATGTGTGGAATGTCAAGGCCACCTCCATGATCCAAGACTGGGTCCAGGTGGATAAAGCTTGTTCAATCCACACTTCTTATGGTTGGTCTCGTACTGAACAGAAAAATAGAAATGGAGAAAAAGAAGAGTTTGTGATTGGCTATGCCAAAGTTTTGGTTGAAAAGCTTGATAAGTTGTTGGCGCACAGCGGGCGGTCCGGTGTTTTTCTTGATCGGTTGGCCAAGGAAAGGGATAAGAAACAGTTTGTTACCTGGGTGAATGGTGACACTTCTGATCCCGTGGCTTACTTGAAGAATGTGCTGGTTCAAGCCAAGGCTGTGTCTTGTGGCGTTGCTTGGCGTGCTGGTGGAGGGAACTCCTTGGGGGTTAGGTCTTCGCAGGCACCAACCGAGCGTGCTGTTTCTGTGTGGCGTGCTAAAGCTGTGCCATTCAGTTGGACTGAGAGTGATCTTTTTGGCGTGCTGCAGGAAGCTGGCTGGACCGATCTTTCTGTTGTGGCGTACCCTACCAAAAAGGTTCGTCCTTGGTTACTGAAAGCCAAGGCCCCTGCGAATGTGGATGGTGGTTTTGCTGGCGTCGAAGCTGGTAGTGTTTTGGTTGTCATGGAAAGGGCTGTTGCTCGAGGCCCACTTAACCGTGAGTCCAAAAAGTTGATTGTTCGTCCACGGGTTGGTGTCAATACTAGTGTCATCTTGCCATCACCTGTGTTTGAGGTGGAGGATGACAATGTTGCCGCCACTGCTATGGAGACTCAGGAAGATGAAAAGGAGGACGATGCTACCAATGAGACTGGTGTCAAACGTCCGGGTTCCACTCCTGGGTCTGCTGAGCATGTGCGGAAAAATCAGCGTGTTGGTGCTGTTCAACCCCGTAAATTGGTGTTTCCTGGTTTCACTGTTCGTGATTGCAGTGCTGATGGTTCTTGCGGCTATAACTGCATAGCTATTGGAGCTGCGTTGGTTCGTGGTTCTAAGTGGGAAGAGTTGCATGAGAAGAGAGCCGCTTTGGGTGCGACTTTACGGGTTCAAGTTGCGCAACATATCGGCAAACATGTTACTACCTATAAACCCCTTTGGACGCCTGATATCTCAACTACTACGGTTGAAAAGGAAGATGGTGAAATACCGAAGTCTTGGGAATGTTGGCTCATGGCTATTCGGCGGCATAAACGATGGATCTGCGGGCTTACCATAAAGGCCGCTGCTACGCGGCTGGGCATTAGGATTATCGTGGTGCTTAAACAGGCCGACGGTAGCTGGGCTATTCCCATGACTTTCGGCACTAGCAAAAAGAAGGAGGACCCGATTGTCATCGGGCTGGATGAGGGCGCCGGCCATTACGTTTTGCTGGTGCCTGATCATGTTGACATGATTCCTAAATCTTGGATGACTGCTGGCGTTTGTGAAGTCACTATGACCAGTCAAGTTGTGTTGCGTGGGGCTGGAAACTCTGAGGAGGATTTTCCCGACAAAAGTTGGTTGCCTCCTGGCACTCCTGTCAGCAAACGCTCTGGTCATTCTGCTTGGTTGCCTCCGAGTACTCCGGTATCCTCTGAGAATGGCATCGCTGCCTCGCATGAGTGGTTGCCGCCAGTTACCCCCAGCCGTGCTGAAACTGGCACTCAAGTCAAAACTAGTGTCTTTGCTGCCCCCTCGGGGGCGATGAGTGAGCCTGAACAGGCGGTTGCTGGGGGGCATTTGGCGGATGTTTCTAACTTGTCTGATGTTGCTTGCGTGTCTTGGGCGTGTCCTCTGTGTTTCAAGGAGGTTTCTGCGTCTACTGCGTCGTCTTTGAAGCGTAAACGGCTTGTTCATCTTGCGCTGCATTATCATAAAAAGGTTGAACCTGCGGCTTCCTCGAATGCGCCTGCCGTCCGTGGTCCTGAGCCTTTGGTTTGGACGTGTCATTTGTGTGGTGAGCGTTTGGAAGCGGCTACTGGTGTTGCCTTAACAAGTAAGCGTGCCAGTCATTTGGCTTCCCGCCATCCTGGGAAGACTAGAGGACATTGGCATCGCAATACTGTGGATGTTGTGTCTACCTCAGCGGAGCTCCCCAAAGAGCAACAAGCTTGGGTATGTATTTGGTGTAAGGAAGCCTTGCCCGACCTTCCACGCTGGCAGTTGGAAAAATCCATTGCTAAGCATCTTAAAAGTCGGCACGGCAGGCGTCAAACGTCTGCTGCGGCTTCCAACAAAGCTCGTGGTAAGTTGTACCGTCAAGATAAAGCGGCCCTCCCCGCTATGAAAGAGGGGAAGTTGAGGTTAGGGCGTAAGTTGCGACAGCGTGGTCGTGACCGTCGTGATTCGACCACTCAAGGTCACGACCTGCATGAAGTTGTGGATGTTGATTGGAAAACTTGGCATGGTATCTCTGTGAAAAAACGGTTAGGGGCTGGTGGCGATACATTGCTCACCTGCACTAAATGTCTGTTGGTGACGCGTGCCCAGAACAAATTTAATCCTTGTCGCGGTAATCACAAGGTTACCACTGCGCAAATGTCTTTGTGGCGCCGGTTGTCACAGACCAATCGTTTGGCCTTGGTTAAAGTTTGGGGTTTGTCGCTTGATGCTGCTTGTCAGTTGTTTGAATCTGCTGCTGCTGGTTGGCGTTCCGCGCCCCAACAGCTTGGGCATGATATTGTTGAAATCTGTGGTAAAAGGAAGCATGTTACGTGTCGTAATTGTTGGTTCATCAGGCAGTGCCCTGGCAAGCTCACGCAGTGCCTGGGTCGTCCTGGTGCTCCTACCAAAAGGCAAATGGATGCTTGGAAAGATTTGAAGCATTTGTCTGGTGCGGGTGTGCAGGCCAATTTTGCCAATGAGTGGGGTGTCACCCTCAAAGAGGCGGCTGCTTTCTTTGGGCAGAAAGCCGCCAGGGGCATGAAGCGGCCTGCCTCCAAACACGCTGTTGAAGACACTTGGCAGCATGACGTTTGTGAGGATGGCGATGTTCATCCGCATCCTGGTCCCACTTGCATGGGTTCATGGAATCTGGTTTCGCTGAACACGGGTGGCCTGCCGGGTGTTTGGAGAGCGGTTGAAGAGTTCTTGGGGCCCAGGGTTGTTGCTTGTCTTGCGCTTCAAGAGATTGCTGGTTCTCCTAACCAGCTCATTGCCTTGCAACGTATTGGTTTGAAATTTGGGTACAAGTTTTATTTTCAGGCTGGTAAACCCACCGTTGGAGGCTGGGGTGAGGCTCGGCAAGCTGGGGGTGTTGGCTTGTTCGTCAAAGCCACTTTTCCTCAAAGACCTGCCTTCGCGCTTGCTGGTGAATTTAGCCAATGTTTGGGTGTGTGGATTGACGATTGGCTGTTGGCTTGTGCTTATTGTCCGCCTGATCAGTCCCAGGCTTCTTCTTTGGAGTTGGCTTCTTTGCTGCTTGATGCGTTTGTCAGCTGTGAAGTTGTTGTTACTCAACCTTGGTTGATTTGCGGTGATTTCAATGCCTTGGTCGGTGGGAGCACGGTTGACACCTGCATGTGTTGCTTTGGCGGCGTTCCGGTGTCGGTCAATCAACCCACTCGCTGGCAGGGGAACCGTTGCGTGGATTGGATGATGACCAATCGGCCCAGGGCGGTCTCCGAACCGCGGCTTCTGTCCGTGGTGTTGAGTGACCATATACCTGTTGAGATCGATGTTTTCACGCTGTTCATGATGTGAAACTGGGTCGCTTGCGTCCCACGGCTATGCTGGCTTGTCCCGATGGCGTTGACCGGGAGTTTTGGGAAAGGGCTGTTGCGTCTGCGTGGGCTGATGACCCTGACGTTCCGCCGCTGGTTGCTTATCTTGAGAATGGTGCGCTTGGCTCGGTCCAAGAAGAGTGGGATAGGTTTCAGCATGTGCTCACGCAGGTGTTGCTCCGTGCTTGCTTTAACTTGAGTCAGAACGGTTTGCTTGATATCGGTACGCGTGATGCTTGTTTTCGTGCGGCCACTCAGCGGCCTTATAAAGGTCGAATTGGGCAACATGTCTCCTTGTCCAGTGCTCAAGCTGGGGTGCGGCATGATGTTGGGAACCTTGCTGTGCGGAAGATGCGACGTTGGCTTGCTCGTTGCTACGAATACAAGCGCTTGTTATGTCGGTCCTTTGAACATACTTTGTCTTCGGCTCAGGAGGCTGAATTGTGTGGATTGCGTCATCGCTTGCAGGCTCGTTTCGGTCAACAGCTTGGGTTGCCCGATGTCCTTGGGCACATTGCTTCTTTGCGTGAGCAGCTCGCTGGCTATGAGCAAAACATGTCTTCCCGTCGTCTTGGCGATTGGAGGGATCGGCTTGTGAGGTCGGACGCTGCTTTGTCGCGTTGGTTAAATAGCAAGATCAACCCCGTTGGTGTTGCTGTGGCTGACCTTCAGGGCGGTGTTGCTGAGACTGATGTTGATGCGGCCAGAGTTATCTTTGACTACTGGCGTGATTTCTGGGAGCAGAAAAGTGCAGACCAGCCTAGCTTGCAATCTCGCGTGAATCGTATGTGTGATAGCATCGAGGAACGTCATGATCCCGGTGACTGGAGGGCTCCTACTGGCCAAGAGTTGCGGGCTTTGGCTTGTGATGGCAAAGGTGCTTGTGGGCCTGACGGCTGGACTGGTTGTGAAATCGCTTGGTTGCCTCTTGTCGTTTTTGATGTGTTTGCTCTCCTTGCTAAAAGATGGTTGGCTTGTGGCGTGGTGCCTGATCAGATGTGCGAAAGTCGCATGGTGTGTTTGCCTAAACCGGGTAAGTTGCGCCATGGGAACGTTGTTTCTGTCCAGGATACGCGCCCCATCACGGTTCTTTCTACCTGGTGGCGGCTTTGGAGCAGTGCTTGGACCCGTGGTGTTGTCCGTGGTTGGATGAGGTCGCACATCCCCAGGGATTTCGCTGTTGCTCATGCTGTCTCCACCGGTGAGGTGGTGGTTGATCTTTTGGATCATTTGTCGGAGCATGGGTACATGATGTCGTTGGATTTCAGCAAAGCTTTTGATTGTCTTGATCCTTTAGTTACTCGCGAGGTTCTTCTGCGGTTGGGTTGGGACCCTCGCGTTGTGGCTGTGCTTACCGCCGTTTGGTCTCGGCAAAAACGGTGGGTGATTTATCAGTCGCATACTCATCCGGTGACGTTGTCTGGCCCATCGATGCCGCAGGGCGATCCGATGGGCCCGGTGATCATGACTATTTGGGCGTGGCTTGGGTGGCTTTGGGTTGAACGACATTCCAGGCCTGATCCTAATATCATGACGCGCGTGTATGTTGATGATCGTTCTTTTGGGACGTCTCGCATTTGGTCTCTTCATGACAGGTTCCATCAGTGGTCCAGCTGGTCTTGGTCGGTTGGGCTGCAAGAGAACCAGGTCAAAGCTGTTGCTGTTGCGTCCACCCCTGCGCGGCGCGCCACGTTGCGGAGGGTTTTGCCTGATGCGGTTCGCAATGATGTGGAAATTCTTGGTTCGTGCAGCATGGTTACCAGACGTGGCCTCCTTGGGAAAGAGGCTGGTAGGGTCGACGCTTGTAAACGGACCCTGACGTTGTTATCTTGCGTTCGCTTGCCTTTTGAGCGGTACATGAGAGCTTGTCGGCAATTTGCAGTGTCGAAAGTTGCCTATGGTTGGATTGCCCGTGCGCCTCCTTTGACCTTGTGCACCCATTTGTGGAGTCAAGTGCATGTTGGCAGTCGTCGGCTTCGGCTTGCTTCTGTTTGGCTTAGGGCTGCTTTGTTCGGTGGTGGCATGCATTTGGATATCCTCTTCGCTACCCAGTTGGTTGGCATTCTTGCGCGCTTGCGTCGGCACCGGACTTTGACTTGGTGCACTCGTGGCGGTTCGCCGGCGTGTGCTTTGAATGCTTGGCTCCGTTCTCGTGGTTGGTCGTTTGATGCTGAGTGGAAATGGACTCATGCTGATAGCGGTCACACGTTGAACTTGAATGATGATGGTCATCATGGTGAAGATGGTTATTGGCAGCACATGGTTCGTGACGCTTGGCGTGCTTGGTGCTTGCGCCGTCACATGTCGTCTTCTCGTCGTGATTCTGCGTTGGATTGTTTCCATGCCGGTTACTTCAAGAGAATCGATTGGGCTGCGACCCGTGCTTGGGCTGCTTCGTGCGCGGAAGCTCGTTCTGTTTGTGTTGGTGCGCTTTTCTCCCCCGCTGCCCGTGGTGGCCGCGGGCCCGGTGAGTTGACGACTTCCTGCATCTGGAATGGTTGCGGTGAGCTTGGCACGTTTGAGCATATTTGCTGGTGTTGTCCTTATCGGCCTCCCGATTTGGACATTCCTCCTAAACCTAACGAGGGCCTCTCTTCTCGTTATGGTTGGGTCATCACCAATCAGAGAGCTGACATCGTTGCTGTTCAAGACTGGCTTGTTTATGTGCAGCGCTTGTTGTGGGAACATGCTCATCCGTCTGCTTGATGGCTTGGATTGTTGTTTGGCTTGTTGCTTTGTCCTTTTGGCATTTCGGCGGCCATTGGTCTTCATTTGCTCACTTCACTCGTTACCTGGGGTGCGATGGTTTCATTCGTGCCTTTGGTGGCTCGGCTGCCTGGAGCGTGGTTTCGTCCGTGCTTCGGGTGGCTGGCTCCGGGTGGTGGTTGGTTCCGTTTGGTTTTCCCCCTTCTTGGTTTGGGGTGGTTGTGGTTATAAATTGGTTATAACCCCATTAACTATAGATATATAACCTATAAACCATAGTTATTGGAGTTATGTTCACCAACTTAGCTATCTTGGGGGCACCACCTTGTATATACTGGATATACATCAAAACTACCCTCTGGTAATTTAACATAGCTATTGAAAATGGCCCAGTCGAAATAGTGGATTTTCCCATGAAAAATGGTGGATCTTTCCATCGTTTTTTGTGAACGTTTACCAGAGGGTAGATATAATATCAAGCCTTTATTTCAGCTTAGTGAATTATCATAATTTACCATAGATTTACCATATACTGGATATACTTCAAAACTACCCTCTGGTAATTTAACATAGCTATGGTAACATAGTTATGTGAACGTTTACCAGAGGGTATATCCAGTATAATAGGTAAATCAACTATAAATGGGCCATTTCCAATAGCTATGTTAAATTACCAGAGGGTACATCAAAACTCACCGATCCAACTCAATCCATCCCCCATTGCTCCAAACGACCGTCACCGGCACGTTCAGCTGCCGCAGCTTCGCCACATGGGCCGCCGCTGCATCGCTGGGGCCTGGACTGGAAGCGCTTGGAAAAGCAAAGGAGTTCACCGGGAATGGTCGAAAATGCTGGGGCAAAATGGCGGTTTGACAATGGAAATGGGGATTTTTGCCATGAAACATTATTAAGAATTGCAATTTCACCTATCACAACATGCGAAGAAATAGCGGACCCCCAAAAAAAGTGTGAAAAACTGTGCGACAAATTGTTGTTCGACCGTCAGAAAGTTGCGGAAAAATAGTGGTTTAGCCAAATATGGTGGAAAAGTGTTGTTCGTTACCATCAAAAACAAAGTTTGAACCAATGAATAATGAAAATGAGTGTGTGTAACGCCTCCAGTAAATGAAATAGTTGGTGAATCGATGTTCCTCCTCCCAATTTTACGAAAAATGATAGGTCGAATGATAGGTCTTGATTCTTGATCCATCCCAAATCATGAAAAAAACTGTCTCTATTTGGGCAAGTCAACAGGGGAAACCCTTCAGAAAATCCCCATCTCAACGAAGTCGCAAAACGACGCGCTCCCAGTTCGCGTCTCCAAGGAACCGGAAGATGGTCTCAGGCCTAGACGATTCTCAATCAACCAGGATTTTTAGAACGGTGTGGACATGACCAACAAATGAGCTGAAAAACAGCTCATGAACCAACGAAAGCAAGGGGTTTCACCAACGAAAAGTTGGTGTTTTCGCTAGCGACAGATTTGACTACCCCGAGGAGCCACGAAGATTTTCATTTTTCGGATCGTAAACTATCCAATGGGCACGAAAATACCATGAATAAACCACAAAAACATACATATTTTGGGGCCCTGAAACGAGACTCATGAGATGCAACCAACATGACACTTTCTCTAAAAGAATGCTCTCCAAAAATCTGGGGCCATTGGCAGCGCTTCTTCATCATGGTTTTTGACAACTAACCGGAACAGCAACTGCCAGGATGATGTTTTTCAGCATGTGGGGTACCTTCTTCGTCACATGAATGATGTGAGGAATCTCCCGCCATGGGACATGGGGGCTGGAATTCATCAACTCTTACCAAAAGATATGGAGCTGTCCTCAAAGAATTCCCCAGTCGTCATCCATTTTCGTAGGATTAAGATTCCCATGACTTAGGAAAGCCAATCACTGACCGGGATGAGTTTCTGGAACGAGCCAACTGATCAGTCGCGAACATTGGAGAAATGGGGAAAAACTAACAGAACTATGGAAAATCACCATTTTTAATGGGTAAATCAACTATAAATGGCCATTTTCAATAGCAAACTGTTTGTTTACCAAAGGGTACCCAGAAAAAAAAAAAAACAATTCTTCGATGAATCCTAGTGTTACAAGCTGTTCACATGTACAAGACATGCGATTTTGGGGGTAACCCAATGACGTGACACCCAAGTTCTTTCGAACCGCTTCGGAGGTGCAGGAACTCATGTGGTAGACCATGGCTGGGGTCATTTCACACCATATATTAGAGAACAAATAAAGAGCCTATATAGCCAATAATGAAGACACTAAGGTTGGACAACCCACTTGGGTAAAAACCTCGTCGCCTAGTCAAAAGTTGCTTCTGATATTTGCTGATTGAACCACAATGGTTCACCATTACGATTTAACACAAAAAAAAACATAGAATGCTTCATGGTGAAGTGAAATCCCTGATTTTTTTTTTCATGGTGAAATATGATGAAAAAAGGCATTCAGTGAAAAATCCGCGAACTTTTTTCGGCGGGTGTTCATTCCTATGGCGAACTGCCTATGGCTGTCGAGTGGCAATCCGCGGTGGCCAGCGCCACTCGAGAGACTTCTGGAAAAATGCACCTTGGCGAAGCCGTGGCCCAGTAGAAGCAACCCCAACGACGTGACATGCTTAAAATGACATGCAAATGACGAAAAAAACAAAACGAAGATGATGTTTTAGTATGTTTTAGTGCCCTCAAAACATCTAAAATGAATCTAAAACCAAAAAAACGAAGCAATAGGATTGACTTGGTTTGGGAAACACGCCTTTCAAGTAGCAAGCTTTAGTGATAGCCATACCAAAAACAGTCAGCAGGCCAGACAATTCTAAACCCCTGCCTGGTACCTTGTATATAGTTCACATCAAAATTTAGCTGCTAGTTACCCTCTGGTAATTTAACATAACTATGGAAAATCACCATTTTTAATGGGAAAATCCACTATAAATGGTCATTTTCAATAGCTATGTTAAATTACCAGAGGGTAAAATGGATCTTCATCCCAAAATTCCATGGAAAACGGCTCTTGACTCATCCCCTGCTCCAGGATCTCCAGGGCACTGCTGTTTGGCATCCACCATGTGCTGCTGAAGCCAAGTCCTCCAGTCCTCCTGTGAAGATCGGAGACACTGAAAAAATGTGGATCTGAAAATCTGGGGAGTACAAAGTAATAATGGTGTTATTTCATGGTGTTAATAATGGTTAATAATGGTGTTAAGAATTATGAAAGATACAAAATCATTGATGATGGTGTTATCAATAATGTCCTTTTGGTAAATCAATGTGTTATCATTATAATATTTATAATGGTGTTATTTCGTGGATGGTTATTGGTGTTAAGAACGATTAAAGACACCAGTCATCAGCATTGATAACTTGGGATGACGTCTCCCATGAGATGACGTCTCCCATGATGGTCGCCTTCGCCGTCCCTCAGAGGTCTGATTTTTTTTCGCCCGGAAAGCCATCGTTTTCCATTGGGAAATTGGGGGGGAAACCCTATACCATGGTCGTTTTCATCATCTTAACTTGGAAAAATCACGTTTTTGGGGTATTCCCAATTTCTGGGCAAAGCAAGATTTTGTTGCATGGTGATAATATCTAAGAGTATTTTTGATGTAGATGCACTACCGTAGATGGACGAAATATTCAAACCCCTCCTATCCGGTACAACCCCCTCGCCCCCAAAGTTCAATGTTAATGTAGCCTGAAGTGCATTAGCCCCAATGGACGAAAAAAATCAAACCCCTAACATCACTTTTGCTAACACGCGCGCTGAAACATTGAGATTTGGGGGGTGCGGGGGTTCAACATAGTGCGTGCTGCAGGGTTTGAATATTTTGTCCATCTACTGTCTCGCTCTCTGATGTTTTCACATCTTTTGGTCTCCAAACTCTGTTGTGGAAACATCACTCTGCATGCTGCTGATCTTATTCCAAACTGCGCAAAACATTGGCTTTTCACAAGTAAATGCCTTCTGTCTGTCTCCCGTCCCATTTTTTCTATTCCCTAATTCGCAACTTATTCCTAAAGTGCACAAAACATTGTGTTTTCACAGGTAAGTGCAACCTTTGTGCTTCCCGTCCCATTTTTTTCTATTCCCTAATTCGCAACTTATTCCAAACTGCAAAAAACATTGTGTTTTCACAGGTAAATGCTGCATGTGTCTCTCGTCCCATTTTTTCCTATTCCCTAATTCACAACTTATTCCAACATGCGCAAAACATTGTGTTTTCAGAGGTAGATGTGCATGTCTCTCTCGTCCCATTTTTTCCTATTCCCTAATTCACGACTAATTCGTTCGACGAATGAAGCCTCTGAAATCCCACCTCAACACAAAGTTTCCTCCATTTGCTTCCATTGGACGCACGTTGCAGCCGATGTTGACCTCAGTGGCAAACTCTCAGCCAGCTACAACGGTCAGAGGAAGAGAAAGCGGACAAGTGCATCCGTTTTTGGACCCTGCATCGGCGAAACCTGCCATTGCTGCATGCAGGTTACCGGTCTATTTTCAAACGCTATGGCTGTTCCCTAGGTGCCAGTTACGGATACCACAAGCTGTCAAGACTCGCATTTCCCTTTTGCGATACTAATGACCATTTATTGCAACACAACAGAGCCCTTTCGTAAAGGATACAGCCCCATCGTGCTGCGAGGGTCAAGTCACTTACGGCTCAATCATGGACCCATTCTTTGATATGTCATCCGAACAGAAGTGAAAATTCAAGGGCCCGACCCATGCGTCTTTGTGCTGCTCCCGTTCTTTACGAAAATGCGGGCACCTGCGACAATGAGCAACATGATCAGAAATAATTTCAATAGATGCTGCTTTACGGGCACTCAACGTCACATGCTTACAAGCTTATAAGTCTAGATGAAACATGTTTATACATTCCCCATGTACAGGTGTCATCTTGGCAAAGGATGGAATGCATGAGCTGCGGTCCCGGGCTGGTGGTCGTCGTGTGGCCCGTCACATTTGCCACATCTTCCTCAGTGGGCGATCGTCCCGACTGAGCATTTCGAGACTGTGGAGATTCCAGTCAGTGGGTTGATCCACCGTCCACTGGCACAGACTCAGTAGTCTTGAAAGCCATCATTGGTCCAGGATAACTTCTGAACAGGGTTGGAAGGGCACGGGGAAATACAGAACACAACAAGGAGATTTTGGACATACGTGGCACCCGCACGGGCCCACCATTGACCTACAGTACCCAAACAAACTCAGTGTCACAGCTGAGTAGCTTTGCGTGTCATGGACCTCAGTCAGCGCTGAGACACAGGTCTTCGACCATACAGTGTATAATGAATTCATACCGTGGAACAGCAAGTAATGAGTGAGTGAGTGAGTGAGTGCGAGAGAGTGGGTGAATGAGAAGGAGGGCGAGGCTTGATGCAACATCAAAAATAGAACCCTACACGTCAATGCGGGGAAATACCGCGGACATTCAGAGGATATGTTGAGCGAATAACCAGCATGACAAATCTGCAGGCAGGGCGCTGCTTTGCAAACCTTCGTGGTTGCATCAAGGGTTTGGTCACTGGAAGGCGCCTTGCAAAGTCACGTGTGACAAAAAGAAGTCATGATGGATGTCGCATGGCCAGTGCTCACCCACTTTCAGGGGGCGAACACGTCTCTTCAGCAACTGTATCATTTTCTGAATTCACAGCTGATCATGGCTGGTTTGAATATTTTTGAGCTCGGGCTCTGCAGGGCCATGACTGAAGTTGGACCCTGCATTGCTCAATCAAACTCTTGAACGTAGATTATCTGCTGCAGGATTCTCGGTATGGCAGGTACTGCGGTTCTCCTGGGCCAGCCTTAGGGAACTGTGCCACCAAGTGGGCGGTATTCACCTCACGGGCAGTGAAATACAGCCAACCTGTGCATAGCTAGGCCAAGAAGTATTTCAAAAACATTCAGAAACCGGATTTCATGCTGTGTTGTGGGCTTGCCTCCTTGGCAATTGCGTACGGCGTGCCTTGGACCTCTATTTCACAAGCATGAGAGGAATGGTCAAAATTCAATTTCAATGGGATAACCAACATGCTTTTTGCAAGATTTCGGATTTGGGACTTGCGCGAACAACTTCAAACATTGCTGATTCCATCCTCAAAGCGGTGTAGTGCGATCATGTCTCAACAACATGCAACAACTATGTCATTGCCTTGGCAACAGTGCATGGCCAGCGCTGAACCTAGTGATTGTTCAAGAGACCGGCAGAAGTTATTTCTCTTAAGAAGGAGCAGCACGTCACAAATGACATAATCCATTGGCAGGGCCACGTCAAACGAATTAGTCGTGAATTAGGGAATAGGAAAAAATGGGACGAGAGAGACATGCACATCTACCTCTGAAAACACAATGTTTTGCGCATGTTGGAATAAGTTGTGAATTAGGGAATAGGAAAAAATGGGACGAGAGACACATGCAGCATTTACCTGTGAAAACACAATGTTTTTTGCAGTTTGGAATAAGTTGCGAATTAGGGAATAGAAAAAAATGGGACCGGAAGCACAAAGGTTGCACTTACCTGTGAAAACACAATGTTTTGTGCACTTTAGGAATAAGTTGCGAATTAGGGAATAGAAAAAAATGGGACGGGAGACAGACAGAAGGCATTTACTTGTGAAAAGCCAATGTTTTGCGCAGTTTGGAATAAGATCAGCAGCATGCAGAGTGATGTTTCCACCACAGAGTTCGGAGACCAAAAGATGTGAAAACATCAGAGAGCGAGGCAGTACCAACTGGGGTGTGCGGCATGCCGCACACCCCAGTTGGTACCGTAGATGGACGAAATATTCAAACCCCTCCTATCCGGTACAACCCCCTCGCCCCCAAAGTTCAATGTTAATGTAGCCTGAAGTGCATTAGCCCCAATGGACGAAAAAAATCAAACCCCTAACATCACTTTTGCTAACACGCGCGCTGAAACATTGAGATTTGGGGGGTCCGGGGGTTCAACATAGTGCGTGCTGCAGGGTTTGAATATTTTGTCCATCTACTGTAGTTACGGAGTAATCCCATCCTCCTTTTTTCAAAAACGTCCCTTCAGAAACACTAGAAACCATAGTTTCGTATCGCAAACGCCTCTCCCGAACCGGTTTTATCTGAAAATAGGTACGGGTTTACCATCATTTTAGTATACAAATTGTTATTTCTTGGGAATTCATAGACCGGACCCCATTGACTCTATGCCAAATGTTGTTGGTTCACTAGATTCCACCATCTTCAATGGTTAAAACATGTTAAAACCACGATTTCTTCGCCGTTTTTGCCCAGTTCCCCCGAAAATTGCCACCGGAAACCGGGGCCTGTTTCCAGGCTGCCAAGAGTGGTGGCACTCTACGGAGCTCCAACATCCAAGCTGCCCACGGATGGTGGGACCACCGGGTGGCTGTGAAAAACGGCTGTTGAAGCCATTAAAAACAACCCAAAAATATGGGGGATATCAATAGCTAGCTGATTCATATAGCTAATATCATAACATGCAAAAATATCAATATAGTTGGATATAGCATGATATAACCAACTAGCTATATCCCAATGATATATGTCCAACAATGTGCCTTATATACAACGAGATGTTTTTCATGATTTTACCCGATGTTGTTCATTCGTTGGTGATATTTCATAGGGATATAACCAACTAGCAATGGTTGTCCAGATCCCCCAGTCGCGTCGTCACCTGCAGCTTGAAAAATACACCCTGCCGCCTAATGACTGGGATGATTTTTTGAAGCTACCCTCTGGTAATTTAACATAGCTATTGAAAATGGTCATAGAAATAGTTGATTTTCCCATTAATAGCATGGTGATTTTCCATAGCAAAATGTTAGTTTACCAGAGGCTACCCGGTAGTGACGTGGGAAACACCTAAATCTTCTCCTTTGCTGGGCATTTGCTGGGGGAAGAAATCATCGAACCTTCATCTGGAACGACACTTTTCGGCATCTTTTGGCGGGGTTGCTATGCAGTTGGTTGGTGGGTTCAACCCCCAAAAAAGATTGGGGAAGGCATTGAGGATCATCATCCCAGCTGGGAAAATCACAAAATGAATCATCGAAACCACCAACCAAATACCCTCTGGTAAACATACAAAAAGCTATTGAGAATGACCATTTATAGTGGAATTACCCATGAAAAATGGTGGATCTTTCCATAATTATGTAAACGTTTACCAGGTAAATCTTGATCCATAACCCACTCCCCATTCCCAGTGTGTCCACACTGGGAATGGGGTCCTCTCTATACAGGGATACCATGACCATGGAGGAGTCGGTCAGGACCATCCCCCTTTTTAAATGGGGAAAAAAATCACCGTGCAACTTGACCATAGCACATATATGACTAGGGTATAATAGGATATAAACATCCGTATATTTAGATATACCCTCTGGTTATTTAACATAGCCATGGAAAATGGCCCATTTATAGATGGTTTACCTATTAAAAATGATGGTTTTCCATGGCTATGTTAAATAACCAGATGGTAGCCTGTCTAAAATCCATGATGCCATGATCTAATTCTGAGGACAATTCCCAAACGATCCAGGATGGCGCCTAAGGAAGAAAAGTTGTCGCTTCGATGTAGCACCGTTAAGTCGGCTACATAGGGCCTGGGGGAGTGGCGGAAGCAGAAGGTCACCCAAAGATGAACTAAGAATTTTGTAAGATCACGAAAATGGAAAAGTGGTGAATGATAGGATTTACGAAATCATTCACCAAATATGTTTTGATGGTGTTGATGGGGCATTGATCATCCACTAGGTTTTTGTTGCAAAAAAAGGTAGATTTAGCTCCCAACTGTAGCTAGCCCTTGAATGATAAGGGAAATGATGACAGTCCTTTCAAATTGGGGGACGCCCTATTTTCAGACAAAGCAATTTTGAGATGGTACAAGTACCTGTTATAAGATGTTATAAGTTGAATGATCACCATATATAGGGATACTGAAGTCGGAATCTTGCTTTAATCCTTCAAAATCCAGAAAAAAAACACCAAGAAAGACTGTCTGGGATTTGACAAATTCGCCTCAGTGGTTTCATTAAGGAAAAAATTAGAGTTTACCCCAACCATGTCGCTCGGGCGCCAGAATGAGAATCGAATTTGATCTCGATTTCAATGCTGATCGCTCGAGCAATCAGTGCGTCATCGCAGAAAATCTCCAATCTTCTCCAATCCTACGAGGAATTGATTAATACGGGGCCTGCCAGAGGAGGGCTGGTTTTTCACATTGAAAGGCCTGCCAGAGATTGGAGGTCTCCTACTGAAAGGGCCTATTCCAAGGGCTTCCGCAGGCAGCAACTTCACCTCAAGCTTTCGTGAGCCAAATCACCAACTACCCTCTGGTAAACCTAGAAAAAAAACGATGGAAAATCACCATTCTTAATAGGTAAATCCACTATTTCAATGGCCATGTTCAATAGCTTTTTGTTAGTTTACCGGAGGGTAAAACCCAGCACAAAAATCAGGGTCCACAATCTCCCAATGGGACCCCCCAAGGGGGACCCCTGGGACCCCGTTGGGACCCCGTTGGGACCCCGTTGGGACCCCGTTGGGACCCCTGACGCCAAGCCATTCTCGTTCAAGGCGGATGCACAAAAAATGCTCTCATCTTGACCTGAAACCGACGATAAGAAACGTGTCAGACATGGCCCAGCTGGCAGTGGAAAGCCACAAAGTACTGAAAGTACTGTAACGTTGTCACCAAAAATTATATAGGTTCCCGACAATCCCAAAAGAGCTTGGGGCATAGCGTACCACGTGCTGGCCGTAAAAATCAGGTGCCCCAACCATTCACGGATTCTCCTCATGATTCCCATGGAAAATGGCCTTGTTTCGGGTGGTGAAACTTGCCCCATTTTTCGGCCGGGCCACGTAGCACTGGAAGTAGCTGCACGAAAAACCAGAGAAGTTCCAGTGAGAAGATCTGGCCCTCCTGATGGGTCAAGTCCAGGGCTCGGGATGTCGGGGCCGGCAACCCCCAAGAGGATAGAAAAGTAAAATCCAATTGAAAATCGTGGTCAATTGCATGAAAAATTTTGCTGTTCTGAATCTAGTTACTGTTCTATCTTTTTTGGCTACTATGAGAACGTTGAAATATGCCAACTGCCTTACCAAACAGCTGAGACTTTGACCAAAGATACCAAAGGCTGATGGCAGAACTGACATCGATGCCTCCAAAACCACCAAAGATGTCATCTCTTTGCCTGGCCCGGGACCGGCTGACCCAGTTTGCGAACTTGAAGCCACGGCCCAGTCGATTTGTAGTGAGTTGTCCCATTCAAAATGGTGGATCTGTCCATCGTTTTTTGTAGGTTGCTATTGAAAATCACCATTGAAATAGTGAATTTTCCCATGAAAAATGGTGGATCTTTCCAGTTCGTTATGTGAACCTTTACCAGGCCGGGTAAATCTTGATCCATAACCCATTCCCTCTATATATAGGGATACCATCTTTCCATCATTTTTTGTAGGTTGCTATTGAAAATCACCATTCAAATAGTGAATTTTCCCATGAAAAATCTTGAAAAATGGTGGATCTTTCCAGTTCGTTATGCGAACGTTTACCTGAGTTTTCCCATGAAAAATGGAGGTTTACCAGGCCGGGTAATCCTATGCTCCCGGTGGATCCTATGCCCCAAAAAGCTCCGCCGCACGCCTGCGAAATGTTTCTGCGCGAAGCCCAAGGATCGGCGCACGTGCGCCGAGCCTCGGGTCGCCTCAGCTCAGCTGAACAACGAAGGTCGGTTGGACTACGAGGCCGGGGTTTCCCTATGAAAAATGGTGGTTTTATGGGAAAATCATAGGAAAACCATAGGAAACTGGTGGTTATACCCTCTGGTAAACGTTCACATAACTATGGAAAATCACCATGTTCAATGGGAAAATCCACTATAAATGGTGATTTTCCATAGCTATTTTGACATAACCAGAGGGTAAACAGTGTTTTAAACCGTGTGAAACCTGAGCTATCTGAGTTGACTTAGGGTTCTGAAGGTTCTGAAGGCCAACTGCCTCAAGTTTTGATTTGCACCAAAGAGACACTTTCATTCATCAGTTTCAGAGGTTGTTGTGGGGTGAAGATATCTGGAATCCTACCCCAAAAAAACTATGAAAATGGTCCAAATCAATGAGGTCCACCAAATGAATCTGCAGGAACCAACCGCGCACCTGCTGAAAGATTGGAAAGTACTTCTTCATGTTGCCACCTGAAAAAATACCAGGCAGCGGTCCCAAAAAAGGTCTTGCGGAAATGCACCGAAATTCACTAGAAAAAATCTGGGATCTGAAAAACAGATGGGATGGATCAGATTTCAGCAAGTTTCGCGACCTTCATCGTGGATTTCCAAAGGTTTTTTGGGCATCAACAGGTGAGGTCAGGCAGATGTTGACACAGCAAAATATTTGGAAGTCCTGCAAGGCACGTTGCTCTCACTTCGGAAGTCCCACTTGTGGCAAAATTAGATAACTTGGATCGACATAAATCACATACAGTTCTTTTTGAGATATTCCAAATACATCCAAATACTGATCTTTCAATCCCTTCCGGGGGATTTCATAGCTGCTGATCACTGACTAGTTGAGTGGTCTTAAGCCTGGATTGGATTGGATTGGATTGGCTTAAACCACCAAAATCGATGTGGAAAACCATGGTGTCCAAAAAACCATGGTTCCCCTAAGGCTTTGTCAAATAGGTCACCCAAAAAAATCGATGGGTACAGAAGCCATGGGATTTTCCCCATTGAAATGGCCATTTTTTGGCATTCAAACGACTCCATGTTCAGACCCAAAGTCCATTATTCATTGATTAAATCACCATGTTTCATGGCTTGACCACCATTTTTCATGGAGAATTCCAATCTTTCTAGCTGAAGCCGCTTAAGCCCGCATCTTTCCCAAGATATTCCCACTATATTTCATGACATATCCCATTTACATCCATTTACCATCTGGTTGTGACTAACATAGCCATGGAAAATCACCATTTTCAATAGGTAACCATCTATTTCTATGGGCCATGGCTTTGTTACAGGCTTGCATGGCTATGTTAAATAACCAGAGGGTAAATCACCATGTGTTGATGGTTAAACCATTCGAGTTTCCAACGAAAGACGCCTTTCCCTTCAAAGCCAGCGCATGCGAAACCGAACCTCAGGGAGTCTGTTTGGGGAATTAACCATCAAAACTTGGAATAAATCATTGATATTGGCTCATTGACATTGTTGATGACTCTCGTTTCTTACTGTTTATTGTGGTCTATTGTGGATGTTGTGAAAAAAAAATGCTTTATGTTGCTACAAAATAACAACCAGCTTTTATGTATTATTGGTGAAACCCAGCATCCGTTCCCACTCGGGAGTCAATTATTGGCCAGCGGGCCAGCCGTTCCCAACGGACTTGGGTTATATAATTCAATGGGTTAACAAAGGAGTTTCCAGTAAAACTCCCAGAAAAACCCTCTCAAACAGACTCCAACAAATTCACCTTGCGGTTCAATTCAGAATGGGGATGAAGGCTACCAACAGCAAATGGGGATATGTTATAGACAGATCTAACAGTTTTTCACATATCAATTTTTCGTGGTTTTTGCCAGTCGTAATCTTAGTTTTTAGCAATGGCATCTCAACCGCCCATTTTTTGGATCCATTGATGCTTGGAATACCACCGGAAAATGGCCAGGTTTATGGCCCTGCTTTTTTTTGCGATCCAACTGGGAAAAATCAGGGCAAAATATCCGGAAAATCCCATGTTTAGTATATGTTTAGTAGACATAGAATAGGGAGACAACTCAAAAATCGGAAAATGATGGAAGATGTGTTCGAAAATCCATGAAATTCTACTTATACTAAAAAGGATGACGGAATTTGTTTTCACCGATGCCCCACGTGTTTTTGTTGGATGCCCAGTCGGGCCCCCTGGCTCTTGAATCGCATCCAACTGGTTCCCAGTTCCAGGAGAAGCCAAAGACACCAAGACCTGAGAAATGGAGACTTTCACCAGCCAAAAAATGGTGAAAAAGCCTGGAAACCCCAGAAAAAAATGGCAACTTTGATTGGGAGGATGAGGATCAGCAAATTTAGGGGGCTATCAAAATCACAGACACCAAAATCAAGGACTTGTGACTTGAAGTGACTTGTGATACGTTTTTTGGTGAACAAAAAAGTCACAGAGCTCTTGAGTAATTCGGGCGAAGTGACTGGAACATAATTTCGCATATCAGCGTCCCAAAAGAGGCTCAGAGTGCTTCCAGAATTCCAACAGCTCCCAGAAATGGGGGATTCCCAAAAATGGTTGCTTTATTTCATGGAAAATCCTATCAAAATGGATGATTTAGGGGTACTTTAGGAAACCTCCAATTTCTGAAATACCTCGAAGTGCTGGTTTCTCTGCCCTTGCAACTTTCAACGATGATTAAGCCCAGTCAGCCCAGTCCCAAGCATCCGCACGTTGGCTGCACGCAACCCGTCCACTCCTTGGATCTGTCCAAAATTGGGTGGCAGTACCCCCCAAAAAGAGATAGAAAAAATCTACTTTATTACTATCATTAGTAAGATCTTACTTTTCTGCATCTTTTTTTTTGGCATCTAGATTCCCAAAAAAATCCACTCTACCGCCAGATGTCCGATTAAAAAAAAGCAGCCCTTAAATGGTGGCATGTCCGGATTCTCCGACCTACCCGTCTGTGCTTTTTGGAAATTTGGTGAATCGGTGAAATTCACCTACTGGAGACGGTTCTTTATGCCACCCATTCCCGGTAGGTGGGTGAAAATTCTGTAGAAAAAAACAACGAACAATCCACTGATCTATCATGATCTATCTTCATTTTCTCCATCAAAACTTAATTTTACTCATCAAACTTCAGTCACACCCTACCGCGATGGCTTGATGAATCCCCCATTTTTCTCCATAGGAATTCAGGCATGGATTATCAATGAGATCCCTATCCATTGCCAAGCTATGCTGGCTATGTTTGCTGCTTGAATCACCTGGATTGAAACCTGCTTCAACTGCCATTTTGCCATGAACTACCCAGAAATCTGGAGAAACATCCCCAAAAATCTCTCGCCCAGGTGGCTGGAGAGCGACTGCAGCGTTGCGCGGAGCAACCAGACCTGGCGTTCCAGGATCCCACGTCTTTTCCTGGTGGTGATTCCGGGAAAATTCGTCGCCGTTTCGCAGGTTGTCCCATAAATGGTTTTTCTATATATATATAAGTTATGTTTATTTATGGGACATTGGACCTATCTCATTGCGATATAGCTAGTTGGTGATATCATGTTATATCCCGTGATATCCCCCATATTTGTTTTCTTACTGGTGCGTGCTAAACGTAGGGTTGCTGGATGGGTTGCTGGGGGTTGCTGGGATGATGACATTACTAGTGATGAAATGGATCATTCCCGAAAATTCCCTGCGTTTAGCACCAGTAAGTTATATCTATAATATGTATATATATATATAAGTTATTGGCCACTTTCGATTCGCGGGATGATCCTCAAAGTGTCAAACAAACACAAAGAGTGCTGGGTGGAAAAAAAAGTGGTTTAACCATCAAAAATTGTGAAAAATTGTGATTATGACCAACAAAAACTGTGATTTAACAAACGGATAGATGTCATAGAAATGGGATTGTCTGAAAATGGAGTATCCATAAAACACTAGTTTATTTATGGCAATAATGATGACAACGCGTATCAAATTGTAGGGTACCCCGAGATCAATTTGTGTGTCCAAATGCTACGGCAAGTTTGTGCAAATCCTACCGGGACCCCAATGGGTTTCCTGCTTTTGAAACGGACAATGTTTTATGTTGGTTGGTATTCTTGGACAACCATAGCTATGGAAAATCACCATTTTTAATGGGTAAATCCACTATAAATACCTGCTTTCCTTGATGCGGACCTACGTTCCGTGAAGGACCATATGTATGTCTAGCCGAAGGACACGGTTCCCATCGTGGGATTCCGAATACAATGGATGAAAGTTCATCGCCAAGTGTTGCATTGACCAATCTCAAGAATTGCTCCACACCATTGCTTCATCCAGTTACCCTCTGGTAAACCTACAAAAAACTATGGAAAGATCCACCATGCTATTAATGGGTAAATCCACTATTTCGACTGGGCCATTTTCAATAGCAAACTGTTAGTCATACCCAGAGGGTAGTGGTATTTCAACATGGCAAGAGAAAATCCATACTTTTTTCGGCCCCCTAAAGGGGGAACGAAAGCTAAGCATCATATGAGAGAGCCTGGAAACCACGGATTTTCATATGCTGAATGGAGATTGCCATGCTGGACATGATAAATCCTCAATTTCGCCAGGAAAGTAACGTTTTTGTCATGCTGGATATTGCCATGCTGGATCCAGAGGACATGACCCTTTTTGAAAAAACATCAGACCACAATGGGAACATCTCCAAACCATTGATTCAGGTGATGTTCGAAAATGACCAAAATTACCAAAACGGCACAAATTTGAAAAAATGTGTGTGTGTGTGTGTTTTTTTTGCTGACACGCCTTTTCTGCATCAAAGGTCTGTGCCGACCAGTCATCGTCAGTGCGATGGTTCGATTGAACGTCTGGTCACCCACCTCATGTCATTGTGACATGCATGGCAAAAAGGTGAAAAAGGCATGGGTTCGGCTTCTCATCAAAGGCATGTTGGGGCAATATCGCAACCTCAAGCAGCCGGTCTTCATATTCAGCGCTGGGAAGCCTTCACAACATCTCGCAAGGTGTGTCAAACGTGGCAGGGCAGGAGAAGGGCAAGCCTCAATGTCTGGAGATCGGGCTGCTAGCATACGGTGGTTCTTACAGGCTGCATGGAGAAATCAAATTGGAGAATCAGGTCCAAACGGCAACTGGGTACAACCCGCTAAAGGAGTTGACCACTTTGTGCCGACATCGTGAAACTTTTTTTTTTTAACATCATCGGGGTGGCATCTTTTGGTGGCCGCACTTCTTGTCGTGGTGCATTGTCCCATTTTTTTTGGGGGGGGGGAGCAGGGTACACTTGGGGGATGCCCAAGGGCATACGCACCTGGGGGGCCAGGCGGGGAAAATGACTCGGCAACAGCAATGGACCTGAATGGAGAGGATTAGGCGGCAGGACAGACATGTGAAACCAGGAAAACACAAAACTGACAAGACATCACGGATGGTAAAAAAGGAGGAGACCGGCAAAATGCTCAAGAGGCTCCTGCAGTAGATGTGCCAAAATGGCATTGGATTGGCAGCATGAAGGCTTCAGGCAAAGTGCCTCGATGAGGCCTCCATGGCATCTGTGAAACCAGCCACTGGGTGTTACCCACAAGAGGAGTGAACCGCGTTGGGCTGGGCATTGTGAGACAAAACTATGTACACCTCCCATTTTTTTTATTTTTTTTTTGGGAGGTAGTAGCCTCATCGGGGTGGCATCTTTTGGTGGCCGCACTTCTTTTTGTGGTGCATTTCCCCCTTTTTTTTTCTTTTTTTTTGGGGGGATCAGGGTACACTTGGGGGATACCCAAGGGCAAATGCACTTGATGGGCCAAGTGGGGTCGGCAATGAGGACTGATGGTTCCCTTGGCGGCACCAGATTGCCTGTTGCAGCAAGTCATTCAGGTGTCCGAAGGCATGGGCAGCAAGGCAAGCATAGCTTCCACTGCATTTGGTCGGGCACTTGCAGTGGCTGAATCAGCATACTCCGGAGTAATCTGGCAGTCACCCCGCACCAGCCACATAATAGTGGCGTTCTGCAGGAACCACTTAGGCAGGTCCCAGACTGGCATTGGGGATGTCCAGTCATCACACAGCAGCCAGGCACAAGGCAAAGTGCCCCTAGTGACCGTGGGTCGAATACGAACCGCAGTCCTGTAGTGTCCAGCCTGGTCTGTGCCCAAATGCGACTGTATGGCAACACAGTAGTATTCCAATTCTTCACACTGCAAGGTGGAGTCTGAAAACATTGGAATCACACAATCAGCATCTGGGTCTACAATGGTGACACATTTGGTAAGCGTCTGGTGGACCTGGGTGCAGCGATCAATGTGAACGCACAAGGCCTGGGAGGGTTGCAGCAGCGCTGCAATCATGCCATCTGCCTGATGCCAGCATTTGAATAGATCTGTCAGTGTGCAGCGATGTAATTGTGTGAGTAGACTAGAAAACTGCAAAAACAGCGGCAGGGTGGCAGTGCTCTCATCTACCTTGTGTGTGATGGCGTTCTCTTCCATTCTTCTTTCCCAGCGCATGTCCAGTGGCTGCTGTCCGAGTTGGTGCAGCCATGAGCCAATGAACTCTGCAGCATCATGTTGTGAAATGGACCCATGATTGGAGATCCTCTCCGGTCTACCCCAGCATTGCAGCACATCATTGAACCAAGCTTCACATGAGAGATTGCCCTGGGAAGTTTCCAGTGAAAGAATAAAGTCATGGATCATGTTGCAATGCTTACCCCAAAACGCTGACTCGAAATCACGCAAGCTCAGAGTGCTCCATAGAAACGCCATCATCGTGGAGTTGACAAAGCACCAGTTGCTAGGATTGGCAAGGCTGGCATGGGCTATCAAGTCCAGAAGACGTTCTCTGAGCCGTGGATCACTGGGCCAGGTGGCCATGGATGTCATCCCTTCTTCTGTCCCTTGCCCTTTCCCTTCTGTGGTCGGAGGTTCAGCGTCTTCGTCAGCTGCTGCGCAAGACTGCTTTGGCTCAGGGAATGGGCTTTCAGGCTGGTGGCCATGAGCATCCATATGCTCGACCCGCACAGAGATCTGAGAAGCCAGTATTCCCGATCTGCCCTCATGCTGAGAGTCAGCTTCCATGGTGTGGTGTCCCCCGTCGTCGGCAGGGCGTGGAAGGATTGCACCAGGCTGACCTCCGTGTTCATCTCGATGAGCTCCTTCACGTTCTCCACCATCTTGCGCAGAGAGATGGGTGGCTTGGATCCCACCTTGAGCTTCTTCTGAGCAGGGTCCCATTCCAAAAACGGGCATGTCAGGTCTGGCAGGAGAACATTGTTCATCAGGGCCGCCTTCACCAGTGGTGACTTTGGATCCGAGTCTCCCAGCTGTGTCAATCTCGTGAGCAAGTCTTCCATCAGGGCCTGAAACAGACGTTGTCGAAGAGGTTGCCACGGTGTTGGGCGTGGTTGTTGCGTCGCCATCTGATGCCAAGTTTCCGCTGCTGCCACCAGGCATTTCAGTGACCCTGTTGGCGCTTTGTTGTTGAAAAAGAAAAGGAAGGCCGTTTCTTTCTGGGCCTCCTGCAGGGCCTGATCGTGCCTCACCAGAAGCTTGGCCATGAGCAGCACTGCCTCTTGCAGATCTGTCGTCCCCTCCTCCTGCTTGACTGTCCGTCGTCCCGGTGCGACGTCTTTTTTGGCCCGTTTCGGTTGCCCTGGATTCTGGGACAGGGTGAGGTCTGGATCGGTCGCCACCCCCAGTAGAGGTGCCAGCTGTTGAAAGGCCACCAGAACCTGTTGGGAGGCATCCAGGCTGTCGTTCATGGTGGAGTCTGCCATCGTTGTAGGCTCTACACAGGATAATGGCCAACTGCAGCGTTCCTGGGCAGTGAGCTTGGTAATGATTCTGAGCCAAGAGCGCCCTGTCAGCCAACGCGGTCTGATCATTGCCATCACCAATTTGGAATTGCAGTGGAATGTCATAAATCATGCCGCAATGTTCACACGCGTGCCCCAAAGGATTGTGTCCCAGCATCACAGGCAGCAATTGTTGAGTGAAAAATGACACAAGCATAGTGCTGCATTCATGCATCTCTCTGAGGTGAAGGCCCAAGTCCGTCGGACAGAACTTGTTGGCGCAGAGAATGCAGGTGTGTGTCAAATGATACATCATGTCTGATTGCTGCAACATGGCTGAAAAATCCCTTGTGATCAACATGCGGTCAATGGCAAATTTGAGTTCACGGGGTATGCATGGGTGATATACCTGGGCTAACATCTGTTCAGTCACCAGTAGCGGGCAAAAAACTTCTGTGGGCGCAAGTCTGTAAAACTGCATGGCCAGCTGTTTCAACGGTACGCACACATGATTGAGCCGCTTGGTGGCTGTTGTAGGATTGCAGATGCATCCCCATGATTGATAGTACATGCCAATGAGAAGTGCAGTCA